TCCCATAAGAGTGGCTACACCGGTTTTGATGGAAAAATGTTGCAGTAGGACACTTTGCAAAAATCATCGCACTGTTCAGCATATTTTGAAAAACTAGAACTTATTTCACATCGAGACTTTTGTGTCCTCTACAAAATGGCAGATTGAGAAAAGGTATTTGAATTTGTATCCTGGTTTTCTGAAGATCCAGTTTTCAGAGAACCGGTCAACCAAGGTCTAAGAACAACTCCGATGTTCATATTTGGAATCAGCGTCATCAATTACAAATAGCCCACCTAGTTTTATCGACAAAACGATTTGTGATTTGGGATCTTTCTCTTGTTATTATATCAGTCAAAACATAACTACATTATAAAACGAAAAACTAATTTAATTGTGTAATTTTTGAAACACGTTCATTGCTTAATGGAGGAAAGCTTCAAGTTTTATTTGCTGTGTTTGGACATTTTTGTTAATGGAAGAATTGTTCCGATTTATTATAGTGGGACTCAGGTTTTTAGAATATTAAGTAGATGATGTTACCTTTCACATAACAAAATAATTAGCTGCTTTTGTTATTGTGTCAAGCTTATTAAATGTGATATAAATAATAAATTTGATTTTTGTATTAACAGAAGCTACCACTGATAATTTCTAAAACTTGAGAGATGTGACTTGAACCTTTCCTCCATTAAGCAAAGAAATAACCTTGAAGTTTAGCTTAGAAATGAAGAGTTATTAAAGTTTGTTTTCATTTGGACTTTTGAGAAACCCGGTATTAGTTAAACCTAACAGTTGTAGTAACCAACCTCATAATATGAGTGTCAATCTTGTTCTACATTTTGCAACAAATAGCCTCTCATATGGTACATAATCTGAAAACGTTTCGGTAACTGTTTCTATTACGAACAGTCTTCTTAATATGTTTCCCCTTCAAAATACAAAGTATGCTGCTAGAGTCTATAAATTAAAAATCATGCAAAATTGTATTAATGACCATATTAGGAACAACGACAGGCACTGAAAAAATATTTATAGAATGAGGTTCTTGAGGTGTTGGCGGATATAATTCTTTACATTTCTTCATGTTCCCGTTGTTTGAACATGGAGAAATCCCCTTCGTCCTTTCCATCATATTCCGGAGTACGGGCATTGACTTTCCAAAGCACATTAGGTCATGAGTGAAACAATTCTCTAAATCTTTTTCTAGGGAACTTTGTATCTATAGTATAAAATAGAGATATAAAATAGAAAATACATTTTGAAGAAAATCCCATTACTTTTGGTAGATGCGTTCCATTTACCCCATACAAACACAGCAAATATTCTAATTTCCCACTTGTGGGAAATAGGAACGCACAGAATTATTTTGAAATTAGAGTCTCATGTGGCGGACAATCTATCTTGAGATCTTATGGTACATTAGACTTTTAATCTACATAGATGGATAGAGTTGAATGTCAGCTACATTTTATGTCTTCCGTGTATTTCAATATACCTGGAAGCACGAGTACCAAAGTCAAAATACGTTTGTGAAAGAATCTCGTGTGTTCTGGTAGATGCGTTCCATTTACCTCATACAGACACAGCAAACGTTCTAATTTCCCAGTTGCGGGAAATAAGAACGTTTCGAACCCTCCCACAGTAAAACTGCTCCCAATCCTTTTGCTGGTGAGATTTTCGATTGAGTTTTGCACCGTTTGGTGCCTACTACCGTCGTCTACAACTTTTGTATTGGAAGTGTTGTGAAAACTTCTAAGCTTTCAAAGTTACAAGAAAAATATCGCAAAACTTTTTGACCGTGTTCTAATTGCACCACGTGCCTCTACTTTGTTCCAACCATATCATTGAATCCAAAATATGTCTCCCTTTTTTATCATTGTCGATTGAAATTATATTAGCTCTGCTAAGAAAAAAGCAAGCGATGCGAATCTAAAATAATATAAATTCTAAACTTGTTAGGTTGTCTCGAATTCTGTCTAAGAATTTAATTATTTCTTGTAACATAAACTGAGTGTCATACATATTAAAGAGGATGCTACTGGACAGTTGTTATTTTTTTCTAACACTTTCATCTAACCAATTGCTTTTGTCCCAACGAAACAAGAATGCAACTTTTTGCCATTATACAGAGTAATTAATAAGAAAGAGATTATTAGACTAGACATGTACCAGTATCGATCAATACTGAATTTGTCTGAACGTCTTAGCGTGAACAATGCCATGGTTTAGAATTTCAGTGTTCTTCGAAAAGAATAGCCAAGAAAAAATAGATAAAGTAGAATTAGCGTCCTGTAAAATACTTTTCCAAAAGTGCTAGAGTTCTAAACGATTGCGGTATAATTAATAAATATATCAAAAAACAACTTTACTACACAGCGAAATTTCCCACGATCCCTTTAAATAATTATAGCTGATTATTCTGGAGAGTTAGGAGATAAATTAGGTACAAAGTTTATTATAAAATATTTAAATATCGCCTCACAGATATCTTTTATCGATTGTTCTAATCGATCTTGAGAATATTCCGATATTCTTAAATTTCATTACATAATTATTAGTAACAGAAATCTCTCTAAGGAACGTACTTTGAAACGCACGTGAGGCGTCAATAATGTTCTATCGATAGTGTATCGTTGATTCTTAATGTACGGTTATCTCAGACACCTAGTGTTGAAACTGGTAAAAAATCTTGTCAGCGTTCGGGGTTAAAATGTGAAACTCCTTCTGACTGTTAACTCTTGAGTTCATTTTTGTAATCAGTAATTAATAAATCTGAATTCTTCCCGACCGTCTCGATTACGCGTTAATCCGAAGTCTACGAATTGAAAAATATAATATAATACGCATTTTTCCATAGTTTAAGTTGGACTGACCGTTTTCTTAAGAGTAACCGTTTAACGATGACAAGAAAGAAAAGGCCAAAGTACTACTAGTAGAAAACAGTAAAAATGGTGGGTTCTGAGTATATAACTTACACTCCTCCTTCCTTTGGCAACTATCGGAGGAGTCCCAGAAAAATTTTCTGTCTAGAACACAGTGATGTATAGTACTTACTCAATCTTAAAATTGTATCTCACTTCGCTACTAAACTATGAACAAAAAAGAGTCAAAACTTCATCATTTTTTACCTTGTTCAGATCTTGAGTTTTTCTATAAAGACTTCAATTTAAAGAACAATGTTTTGTCAGCACGCTCTATCTAAACTTGCTGTTGCTAAAACGAGCCATAATTTAAATATTTTAAAAACAATATCTGAAGCTGTTTATATATTCATTTTGTATGCAAATCGCTTTAATTAATTTATCTTCGCCATATGATGTTAGCTATTTATCTTTCGGTTTTATTTACTTATCTTTTTTGTGCATGTCCAATGAACCTCCGATCTTCCTTCTATATTTCATTTTCATTGAGTGAACATATTTCTGTCTACTGTTTATTATGCTTTATGTCGATATTTATGTTTTTATTTTCTCTAAATGTTAGTTACTGTCTTTCTTTTTCGCTCTTTCCCTATTCTTATTTTATTTTTTTTGTTATTTTTCTCTGAAATACTGTTCATCCTGCGATCTGTATGTATTCTACAGCGTAATGTGCATTAAATGCTTGATTGTGTTTGTTATTTGGTATAGTTCCTTTAATTAAAGATTATGGAATAACAAAATATTTTGCAGACGATAGCTCAAAATGAGATCTATTCAAATATGTAAAAAGTAGTGTGATAATAATAGCAGCCAGTTTAAATTAAACTGACTGCTATTATTATCACAATAATTTTTAAATTTCTGCTTTTAAAGCCACATTTTCGGGAAGTTTTGTTAGCATAGAATACATCGATTTTCTCAGTTGTCTTAAGTTCAAATACGATAATGTTTTCCAAATACTTGAAAATGACCCACAATTTTTGCATGTAAGTTTTACCAGTACTATAAAGCTGAAACAAAAAACTTTTGTTAGAAAAAGAAAGAAGCGTTCAGTTCCCGAAAGTCGACACCTGAGAGCGTCGAATTTAAGGAAAATCCGTTGTTGTAGACGCTGTTTGAAGGAAAAATTAAAATTTTCATAACTTGAGCCTAATATGACTTATTCCATCCAATATAGGTTATAGCAATTTTTAGGGGCATTAGGGTCGGATGATTTTCTCAGAAAAGATTGATAAGGTGCACATCTGCAGGTGGTGGTTTCAGATTGATTTTCCCATAAATCTATGTCCTCAGGCTGTCAGTTGTCTACTTGCAGAAACCCAAAATCATACGTTACTATCTCATTTCATTCGAAGAAATATCCACCAACACCTTTTTTTGAGATGAACAGTGGCTCAGATCAGCATAATATGAGCAGTTAACTGCTCTAGTTAATCGGAAGAATCAGTTAACTAATGTATCAGTGAATCGGTGAAACAATTAACCGATGATCAGTTACTAAAACACTAGTTAACCGTAACTGGTGCGGATCTAGCCATGTGTAAAAATTGTATGAAAAAGAAATCATTTTGAAAGTTTCTAATATAACGTTCGATTATACTTTGGTTAATTTTATTATTTCATTGATACTTTTATGAACTCGTTTAAATTTTCTCGCTGATCCATTCTTAAGGGAATTCCACTCGTTTTTTTAGATGAATTTACCGAAATATGTGGATCGGGCTCCCCTTTGATATATTCTTCAGTAAATGATTTATTTTTATGTTGGTTTTTTTCTTCTTCTTCGTCCTCAACAGGTTTATGCCTTCGTATTGCCAAAGGTCTCTCATCTTGTTGATAGTAAAGATTATAAAAATCATGATGATTATGATTACCATACCAGTGACGATGATGATGGTGGCGATGATGATGATGTTGTTGTTTGTGTTGGGGATAATGCATTTTTGACTCGCGTTGGTCGGTATTTTGATGTAACCAAGCAGATTGTATTGGTCTTTCGGCAACAGGTTTATTTTCAATCCTTACACTTTGATGTTCTTCTTTTTGATGACCGTTAGAAGAGTTTTGTCTACTCGATGATAAACTATAGGTTGTAACAGGTTTCTCAGGATTTTCATGGTCATGTTCAGGATGAATTCGATGATGGTGATGATGGTGTTTCTGTGAATGTGCTGAATCATTATCACGAGATGATGGTATTTGTTGTTGGCGCAACGTATTCCAGGGTAATGCTTGCGCTCCAGTTGGAGAAGGAACCGACTTGAACGTGTTACCTTTTCTAAATGTAATAAGATTAGAAAGAGCAGTTAGAAAGTCAATATTCGCTATTGGGATTGAAATGGTATGTGGTTTATAGTAAAACATATACTGTTTTTAATAGAAATTACTTTTGTGAGACAAATGCGGCATCTCAGTTGATTATTTCGATGAATACCTGGTATTTAACTGTCAAGTGAGAAATTGATCAAATATAAGAGTCTTAACTGATACATTTTATGCAAGAAATTTATTAGTTAAGACTCTAATATTTCTAATTTTTTGGGGAGCAGAGTCTTTGACGATTGAAAAGAGAACGAATTATACAGTACCATCTCTTCAGGGTTGAAGTTGTTTGTTTGTATCATACCGAAGAATGAGAGATTTAAAGTCTGAAATTGCAAAGTTGTATGAAAGATCTAGGTATTCATGTGATCAAATATGAAATTGACAAATTATTTTTTGTACTGTAAACAAGCAAAAATCGTGCTCTTTTCAATCTAATTCCATGCTAAAAACAACTTTTCTTTGGAAACTGCGCTATGACTCGGTCACAAACATTCCTACGCTTTTTCTTACCCGTTGTCATTTTTATTACCCATTTGTTATTAATTGAAGTAAAAAAGATGTCTTCATGCAGGAATGAAATGATTTATAAATGATCTGTGTTTGATCAAATAAACGTGTAAATTTTGACTGATCGTTTAAACAGAAAATAGAAAAAAAAACAACTCTGACATTGGGCGCTCATGAAAATCTTTTCTTTTATTATTTTAAAGAAATGTGTGCTTTTTTCTTTCAAAATTCATTCTATTTGTCAGTAATATTACAATTTATACATGATACATTATGCAGACTTGTTATAAAATTAATAAACTTGATTGAACAAAAACTTTTCATCGACCAAAAACACGTGACCCTGTCTTTAAGAAAAACGTATAGAAGATCGGAGTAAGCTACGGTATTATTCATCAGTGAAACTTTTTACTAGTCCTAATTCTTTTCTTTTTCCAGTGGTAGTTAAGCGTAATTGAAAAATATTCAATAAAGAAATTAAGAGTAAAGTCAATTCTTTTTAGTATGAGAAAATAATACTATTTCAAAAGTAATACTTATAATACTATTTAAAATAATTCTATCAAAAAGATTCACGCTAAAACTAATTTAGCGGGTACTGACTGTATAATTTATTTCTCTCTAAGTTTTTCATATCAAAATTCTTTTATACCAATATTAATTAGATGAAAAATACTGTTTAAATAGATGTTATAAGGAAGAGATATACGTAAAATAGATCAAACAGATCAAAAGTAACTCTTTAGTTTAGTTGCAATACTAATGCTAGATGCTCTTACGAACGGTATATTTGAAGAAATTTCGCAACCTTTCAGTGCAAACACCTCTGATATAACATGCTACAGATCAAACTTTACACTGAGACATTAAAGGGGAGAGGGGGTACAATTTTACGCGAAATCGATCCTAGTATTTTCAAGTTACTTTTAATCGGATTTTGTAGAGAAAGTATTTGTCCACAATTTTCGGGTTAACCGAGCCTCAGAAACCTCATAGAAAATTGTTTATTTCGCTTTTCGAGACAGTCGGTGAAATGCATTAAGATTTCCGAAAAAATACTTTTTTCTGAATCTGAATTAGAGATAAGGTAAAGCTTGGTATAGAAAAATAGCCAATATAAAGTTGTACAAAGTGTTGTATGACTCATCCCTAGTAACCAGTTGAGCATAGAGAAAATAATTATTTTTGACTGCGCTTAAAAAGCTCTACAATATTAAAGTCAATTAAAAACTCCAGGGTGTGCAGTATTTAGGGCATTGTATATGATGTTGAAGTTATAAGAAATCTAGGAAAAACACTTGTAAAAGTCTATCCTTTTTAAAAACGATTTCTAGAAAGTCTGTGAGCAAACTCATCATTTTGGGATTTCGGATGGTGTGTTCACTTTTAGCGGACATATTTAACCATATCCTGGAGTTTAACTCGTTCTGACGTTTTTTGAGTATACAGTGACCTTTCTAGTATTAGATGAAAACAGCCGGATAACCTCAGTTTTCGTAAAACTCGGTTTTCACAAGCTTTTGTATTTGTTTTCGAAAACAAACATTGCCAAAGAAGGAGGACACCAGTATATCTTGTACCACTGTAAATTACTATGGGATTATCACCATAGAAAATCTTTCACAAAAGTACTTTCCAACTTGGACAGCATCATCAGCCATGAACAATCCTTCTTATTCAGCTCTGCTATTTGAAACATGGCCATAACAAGTATATCTGCGTGAGTCATCTCTCACGGCAGTTTTTGTTTAATAATTAGCCGCGTATCGTTACGTGAAAAAATAATAACACAAAAAACTGTTATACTATTTAGCACCGGTTTGGAATTGATATATTCTAAGTGTAGGCTATGTTCAAGTTCAGCAGGTTGTGTCCTCTTAAACTTCATGACTTTGATAACGTCGTTGTTAAATTATTAAACATACTTGTACTTTGTTGTACTTATCTATATATTGACTTTCACCGATACGGTTGTGGACGTTATTGTAGTTGTTGTATTAGAACTCAATGGAGTTGTTGTTGTAGAATTTGTTAGGTTAGTCACAAAGGTAGTAGTACTAGATGTCAAGTGTTTTGTAGTAGTGGTAGCTGAAGAACTTATTGTTGTCGTGAGCGAAATAACTGTTTGTGGACACATTAATTTGAACATTTGTGTTATGCAACCAGCAACAGTTGTTGCTGATACCTCTGTTTCAGTTATGACACAATGTAAGTAATTGACATTGTGAGCTTGTGCTAATAATCGAAAATGATCAGCTGTACGCGAATATAATTCAATCATTACTCGATTCTGTTTCATGAATAAAGCGTGTGTTAAACCGGCGCCGTGTATACCCAACACAATATCAGAATTAAATACTGTATTCAATTGGTCATGCACTGACAATGTCTCAAAACTGCCGGAATTAAATTTTATCTTATTAGCAAATAATGTACTTTCGTTTAGCTTCCTTTTCAATTCCTGTAACAACTGTGCTTCGTTACCAATTTGTCGTGAAACTTTTCCTGTCGGATTTCTTGGATGGGCTATATAATTTTTTCTGAGTAGAAGGAAAATACTAACGTGATCGCAGTTGACTGGTGATGAATCGTCTATAATACTAATATTGAAACTGGTGAGTACATGTCGACGAAATTCATTTATATAAACTCTCTCTTTTACGTCTCCACGTGCAACATCCAAATGTGACAGTGATTGTTGATATGACCATATGAGTTCTTGGTAGAATATCATCGACTGATTGGATGTTCGATATTGTCCAAGACGCTTATATGAGTGAAACAATGTTGACCATAGGTTATCCAGATTGCCTTTTGGATGACCATCAACGAACAGGATACGCGTCTCCTTTGGATCACGATTGAAAAATCGGCAAAGTATGTAGACAGTGTACAAGTCCGTGATGGTGTGATATATATTAGCGTAATCATAACGTGTCACGGCTATAGTGAAGTCATCGATTACATGGCTTATCATTCCAGTGCTGTTACATGTACTGGCTATCTGTTGTATATCATAGACCTCGATAGACGAAGCCCATTTAGCTAAGTTATTACCACTACCAAATATTGGCATTTTTTCAAACGATGTGACATTCGAACAGGGAACCTAAATAGAGAAAGCAGCCTAAACTTTTACTTCTCTTTTATGAACTAGAGTAAGAAATGACAGCATACAGTTCTGCTTATTCTATTTCTCTGAAAATCTCATCTTAACGGATGACAGTATAGTGGAACACTTTTCTTCTAATGAAAATTGATCTTAATAATGATATGTAGTTTTCACAAGTTCTCCTGAGTCTAATGAGTGTATGCGGAGAGATATACTAGTTTTGCGATAAACTTCATTCCTAGTACACATGTGCAGTCTAGAGACTTGAGCGAGTTGAGAAAATTCAGCCCGAATCCAATCCCATAGGGATCGTTACAAGTTTCCAATGTCGTGTAACGATTTTAATTGTGCAGTTGACTTGATGATACTAAAGTTCTTTTTTTAGTCTTATTTTTTTGTTTTGATTTAAAATGCTTTGCCACACTGTTACATGCTTAAATATACTCTATCTATTATTATCTTTCACTTATGCGTATACAAACTAATTTAAGCAGTTCGCACTTCAGATTTCTATAGATCTTTATCAATAGATCTTTATCGAAAAGGTGAAAGAAAAAATTTCACATTTAGTTTCAGTAATTATTCAACGCTTAGTCTTAGATTTTCAGGCGAAATAAAGAAATTGAAACCTCATGAAATATGATTTAATTTATGAGTGATGATGTGACAAGAATCTCTCTTGTCGAGCAAGTTTCGTCGGATATATTTTACCGCAAGCGCTTAAAATGGTCGATCTCTGCAACTCTTCCAGAGACCTTTTATTATTTAGTCCTAAAATTGTCATTCTTTTACAATTCTACACTACTATGTGTTTTAAAATGAAATGCTGATCAATGTTTACGAATGAGTTATTGGTGACAATGGATGAAGACGTATAGTTAGCCATTTGATAGTGAAGACAAGAGAGTAATTTCAAAACCATGAAAAAATTAACTCCAAGAAGCCATGTGTAGGTGATAGGCTTTATATTTCAGCAATACGGGTGTCACGTCAGACTCTGAATGGTAAATCTATACATGTGTCCACGTCAGCGTATAATCTTCCCACAGCAAATCCACTTATTTGCAAAATCAGATTTTTAGCAAGTTCTTGAATTTTTTCATTATTGTCACGAGGTGTAAAAGATTAATAATTTATGCTTTCATTCAATATTGAAACTACCTGGATGTATCAAGCATCGATACGATGACTTCCACTAAGACTGTATCTCGATAGAGTTTTAATGAATGGCTACTCGACTGATCTGGTAATACTCTAGAATAATTTAAATCTGTACTGTCTCGGAAATCGGAGACTCTATTTTAAAGTCGTTTATTTCCCTAAAAATAATTTACAGCACAAGTTCCCTTCAAAATATTTCGACCTAATTACATCTTTGCAATATCGACAGTCTTCACATTTAGGACATGCTAAAAAAGTTAATATTCCACTTTTTTCTATCAAAGTCTCTTCTTTTTTCATCCTTCTGACTTCTAAACAATGGAACACTCTTCCTCCCTCACAGCACACATAGCTAACTTAAATGTATTTACGGTCTTGCTCAAAACTCATGTTTAGTGTGTGTTTGTTATTGTTATTAATCTTGTATTTTTTTTAAATGATGATACTATTTTCCTTCTTTTCTTCCTATTTGTACTGTCATGCATGCTCGTTAGCTTTATTTTCTCTCTTTCTTTTCCTTTTTATATTGATAACAGTCTCTCATATATAAGCAAATTTTTTTCTATTTGCTTGTTTACTGTTTCTACATAATGTAATATCTATTGTTGCAATACATTCAATTCAATTCAACTCCCCCACAATTATGATAAATCAAGGCCTTCGAGGTTTGAGATGTCATAAACACATATTTTCTCACAGAATATACCTGAATCGAGATTAAGTATCAAGGTGGTGAACGACATTTTTTTCAAGAAATAAACCACTGTTTTAGTATAACACTTGACTTTGAAGAAGTAGTACAATACATGTGATTACTGCCCAGTTGATTCAAGGATCATAAACATATGAGGGTATAAAACCACCTCAAAAAGCTTTGTCAATTTGAGCCTTTTCTTCACATCTATATTTTGATACCATTGTTTTTCGAACATGTAAAAAGATTCAGGTTCCATATGACAACTTATTTTTATCGTCATTTTTATGATTTCTTTTCAATATTAACAAAAAAACCTTATCAAATGTCAAGAGAAATAAAACTATTCATATTTTAAAAAATATGTTTCTCTTGCTCCTAAAGCCTGACCAATAATGTATCAACAGAAATTGTGAAACGTATAGTTAAATAAGAAGCACTTATTGAGATAAAATACAGACATCAGGCATACTAATTTCGAGTCACAAAGAAACATATTCCTTAAAGAAAACAAAAAATTTGCTCTAGATCACATTGATTTGACCTCTGGAAAATGTGTGTCTGTGAGGAGGTCATTTCATATTAATGTAAATGTAAATATAGGTATACATACTATGAACAGTCATACCTTTTGATTCTACACGTTCGAATCGCTTAACTTGTAGACTATTGTATTTTATACAATACCACAAAATACATATACAACACCAGACATACGTATTTTAATTGAAATTTCGTGAAGATAAAGAAAAAAAGAATCTACTATCTATGGACTTAATAACTGTCGTCATTTTTCTAAAATACGATCTACTAACAATAGAATATTAGTTGAGTTGACTAATACGGCTAATCAAGATAATTTAAAAGTAAAAGTCGAAAAAAAATAAAACATGCACTACATCCATATTGGTGAACATCGTACTCGTAGCCAACTTAAGAGTCCGTTCGGGCTGCGCAACTCTAGTGTAATATTTCAAACCAATATTCAAAGCTCTCTCTTCTCTATATACTCATTTTGTTCTATAGTGTTCATGTAGAATCCGGCATAGAATGGGGTATCCCGATTTGCCGTATATGTGTTTCTTTTCTTGTTGTCGTACACTCTAAAAAAAATTCGTAGATTAATAAACCATCAAAAAGGGTTTACTGAGACCAATAAACCTTTTAAAAAACGCTTTTCCGTTTTTTATACCCAAAAAACTAAAAAGCGTTCGTGACAGATGCAAAACAAACGGGCGGTTTTTTATCAAAAATATATTTTCTACATTTTTTTCATTTTGCATCTGTCACGAATGCTTTTTAGTTTTTTGGATATAAAAAACGGAAAAGCGTTTTTTAAAAGGTTTATTGGTCTCAGTAAACCCTTTTTGATAGTTTATTAATCTACGACTTTTTTTTAAAGTGTACTTTTTTTACTATTATTTCGTGAATAAAAAATGTTTTAGAAAAATAGGTGCTTAATCCATTGCAATAGTTTCTATCAGAAACATGTCATGGATCACTAGGAACATTTTCTACGAATTAGTTTCTCGACATTTTCTTGAAAAGTATTTGACGCTTTCGTTCCCCAATGGAGTTCTAGAAACAGTTTTTTTCACATTTTGCCTTACACAGAATCTACCTTATCAGCCCTTTTCCATTGAATTTTAAGTATATTCAATATTGCACCACTAAATGCAAATACTTTTTTTCTCTTTCATTCTTTTGTGTGTTCAAGAAAAATAAGAAAATGTGTCTTCTTTATTTAGTAATTTATCCGCATTTTATTCATTTGTTCTCTATTCATTTCAAACTTAAGTTAAGATTTGAAAAAAGAGAATGCCACATGGTTACGCTTATACGTGCCATGTACATAAAATACAACCATACTTAGAAGTATATAAAGTCATGATCATACAACAAGTCGTTATAGAGAAATTTTTTCCTTAGGGGAGAATAATAAGATCTGCCTAAAAACTAGGAGTGCAGAAGAGAGTAACCATTAAAAATTTAGAGTCTTCAGAGTTCAAGAATATACCATTACAAATCTCCGCTAAAGCATTCTGAATGTAATGAGCTATTGTAGTGAAAATATGTCTAATTTGAGAAGTTCACAAGCGAGTCTCAATTCATTACCTGAATAAATCCTTTAGAAAATTGATAAAATTCAGCATTTTCTGCTCGATTTAAAACATCTTGGATATTTTCACCACCTTGTGACCCTATGGCCAATTTTGGATTAATTAAAATCGATCTTGTTAACGCAAATAATTGATCATAAACAATTAGCGACGATGAACAAAAATTTTGCTGATTTTTACACCAGTTCGAAAAAAGTTCACCGCCCGCTGTCATTTTATTATTATCAGTGCATACAGTTGAAATATCTCTTTCATTTCTCTTTATTTTCGAACATATTGAACGTAATACTTGTGGATCGTGTATTATATACTGATTTCTGTGGTATTGATTTGTTTGCAGTATTGTTGAATGTAAAAAGTACTTCATTAACAAAATCAGTATAATTGGTAGTATTATACAGTAACGTAGTCGTTTTTTTGTACGGAAGTTCATCGTTTATTAAATTCCGTTATTTATGGAGCGTAATTTCATATTAATCGTTGACAACCAATCATATATACTGACAAATCTAAAGTTATACATTGAACTCCCTTACTGTTTTTGATTATGTCGCAGAGGCACAATAAAGGGGAGTACACAAGTTTTGGTATCAGCATACCTGTATATTTATATAAGCAAGGTGAATTTAACTCCTATTTTTTCATTTCATATTTCATTCATCCTTCTACCGTCAAGAAGTTGAATTATTGGTTAGATACCAGCATTTCTAGTGTTTCCTAACGCAATTAGAGAGTTGTCGATACTTCGATACCGGTACTGTTTTCGCGCAGTACCGAAAATTTCGGTTCAGTACCCTGTTAGATATCAAATCGTTGGGTACTTTTCTCTCATTTAAACACTCAACGAACACGAAAAGCTTATGATTCATTTTTGTAAAAATGAATCATAAGCTTTTCGTGTTCGTTGGATGTTTAAATGGATGAAGAACCGTTTCTACGGCAAGAGTGAGAAAGATTTTAGAAACATATAGCATTCAATTGAATAATAGAAATCTTATCAAAAGTAGCTCCGAATAGTGAAAAAGGTATAACACTCACCAAAAGGCAATATTAGCGCCATAAGTTAAAAAAGTGCGTTTTAAGAGATTTGTGTGCAAGTAAAAATATAAGACACGTGGATTTTTTTTTATGCAACATAAAAAAATTTAAAAAAAAACGCAAATGACCTTTACTCTTCTTGCCTTAAGTTTTTGTTTACTTTATCAAATTGAATAACTAAATGTTGAATATTTTCCTATAGAGGCAAATGCTACATGAACGATAAAACTTCTTTTAACTTTTGTGGTTAGAAAAAAGTACTTCAAGTAAAATATAAATTTCAAATAGAAAAAATAGTCTTGTGTTATACAAAAGTAAAAGAAAACTAATTAAAAATATTTTGTTCTTTCTGCACCGTTTTTTTTTTATACTGAACTCTTACATGCTTGCAACAGAAGACGAGAAAAGACGTAGAGAAGAAAGAAAGAGAAAATAAATAGCAAACTGCAACTATGCATTATTATAGACTAATCATCTTTCTGTTTCGCTGCTGTTCCGTTCCATATGGCAAAAAAGACCTTTACATTAAAAGCATGTTTAACAGGAAGGAAAGAGACTGTTTTACTAAGCGAGTTAGTTCAATAAAAAGTAGTTTTTTTGTAAAACAATTCTATATCACTTTCCTTTGAGATTTCATTAAATAAACTAATAGATTGCAATTAAGTTAATCAAACTGATCAAATTTTACTTACTATACCTAAGTGTCTACGACGTTCTTGTACTTTCTTCTCTCTAAAAAAAACACCGGCAGTTTAAAAAACCCGAACGGTTTTATATTCTTGTTTCTAAACCCAAAAGGGTATAGTAACACATTTGAGGAACCATTGAGGGTTGTGTATCGTTACTAAACCGTTTTCTTTTCATCAATGTCACAAAACCCTATTTTCGTTACTAAATCCAAAGGGTTGACATATAAACCCTTTTGGTATTTTAAAAAGCCAAAAGGGTTTTGTGAGAAAAGTAGATGGATTCTATAAGTAGTAAAAATTTCTTGAGTTTATTAAACAGTATTTAGTTCTTGACTCGATGAATACTAAAATACCAAAAGGGCTTTTCATAATTGCTGCTAAATTCCAAAGGTTTTTTGAACTCAATTCCTAAATCATTTTGGTCATGAACTAAATAATGTTTACTAAACCGAAGGAATTTTTAGTACTTATAAAATCCGTCTATTTCTCTACCGATAAAGCAAAATCTTTTCCTACTTCTCACTTTACCGCACACAAAGAAGTGAGTATTGTTGTTTCAGAGAAACCAGCCTTACTTCAAATTTTCTTCCATTATTATACTCATTTTATCGCCAGCTGGAGTAAGCAAAATACACTGTTTAGAAATGAATATTTGATCTATTTTATATCCTTGTATTTCTTCTTGAATTGACAACTGTCTTCCAAAAGTGAAGTGTTAGAAAGAACTGAAAACTCAATGTATCTTTCTCTATATACAGAAAGTTGAACAGAATTGTTGAATGCCCAAATTATTAGCAAACGTAATATCATTTTAAAATAGAACGAACTAGCCTCTAAAAATAGATATTTCATTTGCAGCTAAAATTTAAAAGGGTTTAGTAAAGGTGAAAAACCTTTTATTAAAAAGGGTTTCGTATATTTGCAGTTTTTCGAACCCTTTTTAGGCTTTTTAAAACACCTATTTTTTTAGAGAGTTCTATTGTTTTATACAGCTTTGTTCGTATTACTTATATAACATGCAAAATGGATACGAAAGTAAAAGAAAACTAATTAAAAATATGTCTGTTTTGTTTCTTTCTGCACAGGTATCTACGGTGTCATTCTTTAAGAGCCATTTTTTCAAAGCCACAATCCATTTCTGCGGAACACAATTCAATGGAGCATGGTAGACTTTTTTGTCTATAGGAGACTTTCATAAAGACAACATGTCGATGAATAGTGGCGAAAACCGAAGGTCAAAAAGTTTAAGTTTCACCGAGATATTTGGATTTTTTTCGAAAAGCTCTAAAACTCAGAGTTTTGCATTTGGACCAAATTGATCATTTTTCAACACATTTGTTACGGTAACGAGACGTAAAAAACTAAAAAGTTTTAGCAGATACACTTCGAAGTGCCTACTATAAAAGAATGCAACCGCGAGCTCTATACATAGTTTCGTTTTTTTCTGATAGAGATCATACTAAAGACCTAAATCAGTTTTTTGGTCAAGTTTCAAGACCTGTCCTATCAAAAAGAAGTTTTTGAGGACACAGGCGGTTTCGTACCTGAGATTCTGAACGTCAAAGCTGATATTTTGGTATCTCTTCGATGTTGTACTAAGTTAATTGATGGTTTATTTACAGTCGTGTAGTTAACAGGTGATGACTCATCTCCCTATGTGGCATATTAGTTTATGAAACTGAAATCTTATACTTGTGCATATATGTATAGAACAAACATATTAAAAAACATATTAAAGAACATCAACACGTATGTCATAGTTGCTAGAGAAAAGAAAAATGAAGTAAATTTTATTCTGTTAGAATTTATTTGTACAAGATCTAGATATCGGAGCCACTTGTTGACGTAAGAAGCCTTTATTTTATAAATCTCACCTAAAAATGATTTCAAATTTACTATACAATAGCCCATGAAAAACTCGAATTTGTTTGGCATTATTTTTTGTGTTGTTTTATTAAAACAGTGTAGTTATATAACTGGCATCAAGGCATGGAGTAAAATTGTTATAACGCGGTTATTGAAAAAATGACACGATTTACGAAACGTCTCATTTTGTAGAGTGATGTTTGCTCTGTGTATTTGTTGTAAGAAAAACGTTTTAAGTTAACTGTGGCACAAATATGAGCAATCTAGAACATCATAACTGTATACAATAGCTGGTCACTTATGTGAAAAAAGTATGAAAAGAGAACGAAGTTTGAGCTGAATGGAGAATGGAGTGAGAAGTATTAAGTTTTTACGCTGTTTAGGGAACGGGACTGGAAAGAGAACGTGTATCGAATTTTTTTGCAACAGACTGAAAAGAGAACGGTTTTGAAAGTTATTTTTTCACTGTACAGTTCTAAAGTAGAATTTTTCATAGGCACGCTTCTTCATATTTACACATCGATATGCAAACAGTAAAACAACCATATTCTGAGGCTAGGCTTTCGCAAAATGTTGTTATAAGTAAAGAATTAGAAACATTAGCACTAATATAGTCTCAAGGTGTTATAAAATAAGCCATTCCAATTCATGGAATATTTTGTACATGGTAGGCCAAAAAAATCTAGTCTTGCTCTACTTTTTTTGAAATATCGTATATATTTGCACTTTTTTGTACAATATTTTTTTTCATTTAATGCAAGATATATATAGATCATAATTCACTATTCGAACATATGACCGTTCTCGTTTCAGTTTTTTGAACTCGGAATTCTGAACTGTTCTCTTTTCGGCTTTTTCGTTTTATAATTCGGACCATTCTCTATTCAGCTTAAATCTGGGTATCAATTTTTTTGATCACCAAAAAAGTGACTTTTGATCACCAAATTTATTAGCAGTGAAATGATCACCAAAAAATAAGACTTTTGATCACCAAATCAATTAAAGAAGTTTTAATTAAAGAAAATATATTCAAGAAGAATATACAGCAATTTAATAGAAAATTAATTGCTAATTAATTAGTGGACAGACAAGAAAAAGAATATAAAGAGAATATATACAAGAAGAAGTATGAACACAAATATGAACAAAGTAGAAAAAAACTAATCACCAAAGCAATGCACAGCTGACGCATTAATTGATGTAAATAATTGGTTATAACATTTGGCATTCTCATCATAAGAAATTAATGCTACACCAAAAGGCTTGAAATGACGATTGGCATCCGTTGATCAAAAAACTAAAAGTGGCAATTCATTTCACGTAATTTTGTATGTTGCATCAACTTGCAGCCATGTTGTGAGCCGAATCTGTTGAAATAATTGTTTTGTGGTAAAGAATACGAAAATATTTTTTATATCTAAAATAGTATAAAGGGCACAAAAGTTGAATGTATCATACTTCTTCTTGAATATATTTTCTTTAATTAAAACTTCTTTAATTGATTTGGTGATCAAAAGTCTTATTTTTTGGTGATCATTTCACTGCTAATAAATTTGGTGATCAAAAGTCACTTTTTTGGTGATCAAAACACATTTATTCCTTAAATCTGACCATAAATAGGCAACTGTTCTCTTTTTAGCCCTAATTCCGTTCTCTAAAAAATCCTTGTTCTACTTATGTAACTGTTCTTGTATCTTCACCAATTCGTTAAGACTTCTGCCTTTCATCCATTGATCCTTTATTCGTTGCAAATACATAATCTAAACATGTCTCTAAAAAATGAGAAGTTTCGCAAGTCGGGACGATTCTTAATGACCGTGTACAACAAGTTTTCTGAATTTCCGAAAAAACAGTCAGAAATAACTGGTCTATAACTGGCGTATGCCTAGTTCCGTAACGGTATCTGATACCATGGATAAAACAATTATTATCACATTAATATCTGTGCAATCAGATGTATTTTCATACTATTCTGCAGAAAAACGCTTGACAATTATTGACAACAGAACAGATAAGCTTCAACATATCATTACACTGCTGAACTTGGAATAGAACCGTATAAACAAGCGTCAGTAGTCGACTAGTAGCAGAATGAGTGACTTTCTGCGTGGGTAGCAAATCAAAGGAATTCTTTGACGATTCGATGTGTACAAGCCCAAAGTTTTTGAGGTACTTGTACAAGAATACTTGTATAATAGGTGGGCGCAGGAGCGTTTTCTTATATGATATTTTTTATTATGCGGCTCTATGCCAGGTTCAACAGTGTAATGATATGTGGGTATTGTCACGTATACTTATACTGTAGTATTTTGTCCTCTTAGAGCATTTTAATGCTTTCTTTATTCAATAGTATATAAGGAGAAGGAGCATGCAGTACTAAACTGACGGCTGACAAACATTCACTGGAACACTGCGACAATAGAAAACTTCCCAAGTTTTGAAGGCTCGAAACGATTGTTGTAGTACTTGACTGATGAACTGCAGGTATGTTAAGGTTTCTAAGAGCGTGAATACTTTTGTATACTACTAGAACGATAAAAATCAATGTATCATTAAAATTTATTCAATTTTGTAGAAGTCTACGCGAGACGAATCTGTTAAAAAAGAATTAACTCATAGTGTTAAGACGAAAGCGAGATAAAACCAAAATATAAAGTGAACGATTTATACTTATGCAACAGTTAATATTTAAAATCAAAAACAATTTCAACTTATTTTAAGAAAAAGTTGATTGTTATTTTAGACGCTGACTTAAATACAGTTCAATTGACTAATTCGCATGTTTATAAAATAATTTGGCAGAAGAAAATGGATAAATAAAAAGCCATAAATTAAACATCTCTGGCTGTTACAGCTCCACTTGGTTTCCACGGAGAACTGGATACACTAGCCTTCATACTCGATGAACGAAATATATTCCTATAATTGTGACAAAGAGAATAGAAAACTAAATTAAGATTGCGTAGATAACACTTACTCCATATTTTTTGGTAATGGCATTCTATTAATGCTATCAAACGAATTTCGTGTATTCATATGAAACTAAATTTATCAAATATGTCAAATGGATTTTGAAACTAAGATATAAATGATAATTTACTCTCGGCCATAAATTGTATTTGCTATTTTTATCCAATGTACCATGACCATAATTTCGGTAATTGTATTGAACAGGATGATTTAAGTAAGAACGATGTACACTTTCACTTGATTGACTATGACGCTCAGATTTATCGGCACGTAAACTAAAATTAAAAAATATACTAATTTTTTTCCATATTGATATTGGCATAGAATTCTTCTGTTTGGAAAAATCTAATAGTTCATGATTAGAATATTGTATAGAAACATGATTTCTGTTTGCTTACCGTGCTCCAAATGTTGGTGTATTGCTTCGTTGTGGCCATCCTTCATGGTACGTACCCATTAACACTTTGCCACAATCATGCCAGTTCTAGAAAACATTTCTTTTCTTTACAAATGAAGAAGAGTACATAGAATATTCATTAACATACTAATCCGGTAAAATCAATATAAGGCTCTCTTTGTGTTGGGTCCATTTTTTCAAATTCTTCTGAAATCAAGGAAACAAAAACAAATTAACCAAATAGTTTGGCCTTTCATTCTTTTATGATGAAATTAAGCATTACTATATGCAGAACTACCAGCACGCGTCTGTAGAGATAGATGCGCAGTCTTCCCTAATTCGAAAGTTTGAAACTGTACAACATTTTTATAAAAAGAATTGTGCTCATATTCGTAGTTAGTGTGAAAAACTGCCTCGAATGATACATCACATACACTCAAAAATTTTTTTCCATCAAAATTTCGACCTTGACACCCCAACGAAGGTTTAATAGGGCTGAAAATTTTGTATTTTGACTTATATTTTGTTCGGTGCAGTTTTTCACGTCAATTTCGAATACAAGCTTTAGTTTTCATGAAAATGTTATACGGCTAAAAAAACCGTGTTTGACTGCCTTCACATAAGCTGCCTATTGGCCTTAGTTACGTTAAGATAGTTATTTCTAAGCCGTTTTATATTATTTAAAAAGGTTTTATTTTTGCTTTCTAAATTATGAGTATTTGTCTATAGAACGTATTACTTGGATTTTCTTGTTATTATTTATCTATACACTTATTTATCGTTTCCGATAAGACGCTGATACACTACTCCTGTGGAATCTGAGCAAAACTATTGAGTCATGCGTCACTTGAAAGCTCTCATCAAACTGAGTTTCTTGTCAAGCATTTTTAGTCTTAAAGAAATAATATTCTTAAAAAAAGATTGTTCAAAAGATCACAAATGGGGCTTCAAATTAGAGAAGGCCGTGAATCCATCCTGTCGTACGATATTGGATAATGGTTCTTAATACCGTTGGTCTCCCTCTCTCTCTAGAACAGGTAATATTTTCACTTTTAGGAGAAGTATCTTACCCTCATCAATGAACGTTGTATGTCGTGAATGTTCATCGGGTAATCGACACAATGTATCGTCTCGTTCCATGCGACGAATTGTCGGTAGTCTTGGATTGAATATCTGTTTTTTAACGCCAGCTAATTTTCGTCTTTGTGCATTATATCTATTAAAAAAATAAATCTTCAACGTTTCCAGAAAAAAATTTGTCCTTACAAGTTCTGAGGAAGGAAAAAATTCTTTCCTTACCCAGCAAAGTAGCGTGGGGATGATAGACCATAATCAGTATGAGCCGCTATGTGTTGAAAATCATTCCAGTCTTTTTTCTTCACATCACCACCATCAAACCTATTGACATTGTGAAAAAAATTCAATTAACTTAAATAAACATTAAATTTTTTATTTCTGTTATTCACCCAAGACAAGTATTATTGTTACAAGTATTAAGTAATCAGAAAATAATTTGTACAATTATGTATGAGTATAAAACGTTTATTTTTTGACGCTCACCGAGGACTGCCAAACGATTGTTGAATGGCCATTGCACCTGCACTCATTGTTGTTTCACCGGATTTGACTGACTATTGGCTAACTTAAAAAATCAATAAACCGATTGTTACATTCAAAAACCGTCTCTAAATAGAAGGTCTCTCTGGAAATTTTAATGCGCATTCCAAAACAGAAGACTTCTATACTTTTTGCTAATGTTTTGTTTTAGGACATGATTTCCCCTAGTTTTGTCCGCGAAAAAGAGCTCAAAAAAAAATTGGTTTAATAAATATAGAACAGAAAAAGTTCTTGAAATTATCGTCTAGTATTTTACTTAAAACCCTGAACACAAGTCAGACTAATCATAAGACATTTTTTTACTAGGGAGCATAAAACCACTTCAGATCTTTAGCTCTTCGTATAGAATAGAATGTGAATTGTTTAATACACAGCATAATAACATACAGATAAGCCAACACATTACAATATATAACAATGCATTCTTCACGAATGTTTACATTAAGATTTTGTTTCACACTGTAAAACATAAAGTATGTTACTAGGTGTGTAAACCACATAGACGTTCATTGAAAATATAAGTGGTGTGTATTTTTCTAGATGGTCAGTTCCAGTGCGTTAAACATTTTTATTATTTTTCATTTTTCTCAGAAACTATTACGTCGGACGAAAAAATGATTCGAGAATCGTGATCACCGTCTGCGAAAATAATTTTCAGTAAATATGTATAAGAAAAAAAACGAAGAAAAAACATTGTCATGTGCGAAATTCGAACAATAAATCTGAAACATTTTCAGCGCAGAGGGTTTATATACCTAAACTATATCATTGATCTATCTTGAATAGACCTATGAAAAACAGCGCCAGATCATTTCACATGTCCACGTCATTTGTATCTGATACGTTCTACCCGGACAAAAATCAATACGAAACTTGTCTGACCAGCGTTTTATGGAGTAGACGATGCTGTACCGAAAGAGCCTTGGACCAAGATTGAAGCTCAAAAATGTCGCTAGTTTATCTTAATTAAGAAATGACTCGGATGCACCTATGTCCTGTCTCTGTTGTGAATATCAACAGTGATATTAGTTGAGTACCTTTGAATCGCGTGATGTCGAACAGAATCTTTTCCAATCTCTTTTTTGAAAACTTACGATGGTTAAACGCATTTCTGTGAAGATCTCATCTTAACGGATGACAGTATAATGGAACACTTTTCTTCTAATGAAAATTGATTTTGAAGAAAATGCAAAATAATATTAAAAATTGACTATTGTGGCTCTTTCAAAAATGTAAGATCTCATAATCTTTATCCTAAAGACGACCATGTTAAGAATGAATTTTATAGAGAGAGAAAGGGACTTTTACATACTTTTAGTAGTACTACATATAGAAGTACATTTCAGATACATGTCATCAAATCCTGTCTGTCTTTACTCCTACGAGTACTAAGTGGACAATCCTTTTCACAGTACCACTTGTTTGACAAAAGGTTCTCCTACGCCTTACTAAATTTTCGCGTTACTGTAATTATGCTCTACGGCTTCGGGTCATATGTCTACAACAAATTTTATTTAAGATTATGTTTGACTCTTTTTCCATCTCTCCCAAAGCATTCAGAGAAGGATAATATCTAATGATAATAGTTAAATAAATCAGCCGTTACCTGCAGATATGGTTAAACTTTTGAGTGCACGTGCATATATGAACCTAATAATAACGGAAAGAAAATGAATTTCAAATTATGTTTAACAATGGTACTTGAACACAAAAAATGGTATTCTACTAGAGTATTGCTCTTTTTCCTTTTTCGCCTTCTTTCTTTCTTTCATGCATTTTCTTTTTGTTTTTTATTTTATTCCCTAATGGCAATTTCGTCAATAAAGATACTTGAAAAATCATGTCGTCAAAATATTTTTAAACTAATCTCCATTAGAAGAAAGTAATTTTCTCTCGTTCTCAACTTTGTTCTTTTAAACAAATCTGAATAACAAAACAAAAAAAAAATCGAACGGTTGCTGTTATTTAATATGTTAAAAATAACAAGAAGTGAGAATCAATTATGTTAAATATGATTTTTATTGGCGTTTTCACTCTTTTAGAAAAAAAAAAGAAAATGTTTGACAAATACACCTGCAGAACGGAAATGAACTTGTTTGAAAAACGTTCAGCAATGAAACCTTGTTATAAAATTTAACATTAAAAAATGTCTCGATTTGGCGTATGAAATAAAACAAGCATTTAATAAAATACGTACAAAAAAATTTATTTCAATCTACCGGTCTAACAACTGGTTTTGATCCAATTAGCGTGAATGATTTTTCTTTTAAAATATTTCTCGCCATTTTTCTTCTAGGTTTTAGCTCTTGTTTTTGACTGTCTTTCTCGAATGCAGTTGAGCTCACGATGGAAGTTGGAGAAGATTGTGGTTCAGTCATTGTTGTAAAACGTTTAAGGAACATTATCGACGAACGATGGGATATTTCCATTGTCTTTCGTTCATTTAAGTGTGATACTGACGCTTCTAGTGCACGTTTGATCAATTCATTTTCACGTTCTTTGCATAATTTACTCATTAGACGTTGGCGTGTTTCCGCAGGATCATCAAGTTTTAATTTTTCACAAAAAACGCATTCAGTACCGTGTTCTTGAGCGTAAGTGACAGGGGCTGTTTGAATTCGAGTGGGATTCCATGATTCGTGAGTACCGTTAGTCACGGAATGTATCCATTTATCAAATTCCATAGGTAATGTGTCATTAGCTAAAAGAGAGAGTATTGTTAGATAACTCAAAGACATCACTGTACTTACTATCCATAGCATAATATATTGGTCACTGTTGCAGGTCACACTCAGAACCCATCCAAAATAGTTGAAATTGTCAACATAAATTCTGTATGAGCTGCTCACTATACTGCCTAACTCTGAACTAAAAATATTCTTATGATCCCTCACGGTTTTCCAGTGGAGTTCTCAGAAAATAAGGAGATACGAAACAAAAAAAAGTTTTATTAACTTTTTTGATTCCATATTCTGGTGTATCGGGTCAAACTAATTATCTTCGGATATTTTCAAGTAATTTGGATGAACTTTGGATGAGATGTGAGCTTTTTAATTTTCGACGAAATATCCTAAATCGGTTGGTTCCGTTTAAGGAAGTTTTTATTAGATTTTTGAGTTTTGTTTTGAAAGATCCGATACTTTAAAGAATGAATTTTAAACTGGTTTTATGAAAAGCAACTCCAAAATGTTGTCTAGTCAATGGCGAAAAGCACAGTTCTCTGGATGCTTTCGATCCAAAGTTATGCCAAAAACTTCGAAGCAGAATCGTTCTTTTTTCTGTACTAAAATCTATCTTTTGCCAGATGGTTTTATTCATGGCAGAACGTAATTAACCTTGATATATATCAAATTGATCTGTCCATCGATCCCGTTTTCCATCAAAGCATTCTGACATAAGAAATGTTTTTTCCACATTTGAAATGTCTTCATGATTTGTACATAGTCTGCCTTCTTGGTTTGTAGCTTGTCCTGGCTGTTTAACTTGATCAGCGACTTCATCATATTTCTGATCTTCATCTTCTACATCGTTACATTCACATTGGTGATGAACTTTAACTAATGGTAAATCATCGCAACACGATGATTTATAAATCAATGATGGCTGTTCTAATGTTGAATTTTGTTGTTGAAGTAGAACATTAACAGTACTCTCTTCATTAATACTAAGTTTCGAATCACTATTACTAAACTCTAAAGACAGTAAACAAGCATATTGTACATAAGAAACACTCCTTTGAGTTAAATAAAAGATGTCATTAGGACATATTTTGCGACTTATAATAAATTATTTACCTCTTGAGCATTTTTTCAGACATTTGCATGAACATTCTGAACATATACATAATGAATCATCACTACCATCATTTATATACTTTTCACATTCGCACGAACAATCACTACACAGACACATTGTGTCATACTTTTCACCTGCATCATTTATTGTTCGAATTGGCGATGTTTTCTGTTCCTCATCATTCAAAAACTTCTCATCGCATTCACCTGTACATGTGCATGGACGATCATCACAAACAACCGTTTTCCAGTGTTGAAACAGATCTTCTTGCAATTCTTTCGGTAAATCTTGTTCATCAAATTGAGCACGCCAATCAAAATATTCAAATAAATATTCATCAGCCAATGTTCTTATGGTAAAATCGAACTCTTCCAAATTAATATTGTGCTCTTTGACTGTACTAACATTCGTTTGTGCAGTGCCTGGGATTTGAACATCGCCTGCTGCTTGTTTTCGTACTTTCGCATGTCTCTTTTGTTGCGGTAGAGCCATTTTACATGAATCAATTCGTCCTCGATATAATTTATTATCGGTGCCTAATATGGTTAATTCTTTCTGGGTGGTAAACGTTTCAGAATTGGCATGTTGTCCACCTTTTATTTCTTTTCGACCATGTCTATCAACATTTTTGCAAATGGAAAAGACGTCAACCAAGTCATGACCAATTATTTGATGAATCTAATGAATGGATATTTTAGACCTACACGATGTATTGTTGAAAGAAGTATTTTACTTAAGAGGAAATATTTTCAGGTGTAATTTCAGGATTTCCGTAAAATACATTGTGCAAAGTAGAATCGAATGTTCTAAACACGATGGGTTTAGCTAAATGATTGCTAAGATATACCGTTTTCTCGTTCTTCAGCATCAAGAAAAGACTCATATTTAATCGATCATATTTTTTAACAGCAACATTAGCTAAACTCATCAATGATACAGTTTTATGAAGAAGAAACATCTGAGCTACAATGTTTAAAAAAAATTCACTATACACTCAAGAAACGTTAGAATGAGTACTCCAGGATATACACTATTTAGGGCATTGTATATGACGTTGAAGCTATAAGAAATCTAGGGAAAGGACTTATAAAACTTTATCCTTTACAAAAAGGATTTCTAGAAAGTCTGTGAGCAAACTCATTATTTTGTGATTTTCGCATGGTGTATTTACCTTTAGCGGACATATTTAACCATATCCTGGAGTTTAACTCGGTCTGACGTTTTTTGAGTATACAGTGACTTTTCTGGTATTAGATGAAAACAGCCGGAAAACCTCAGTTTTCACAAAACTCGGTTTTCACAAGCTTTTGTATTTGTTTTCGAAAACAAACATCGTCGAAGGAGTCAGCGTTGTTGATTACGTATGTTTCATCCGACTTCAAGGCCATTCGATGTCATCGGGTACGAATCCTGGGGCTCCAAGGAATGCCGATACCGGCTAGATCCAGCGTCATAGCTGGGACATATGGAAAAATCTAGTCACAAATTCACAAAAGATGCTATCAGGCTGCGTTAAGTTTTCTATTAACACATTGTAACCAAAACTTTTCTTCAAAGTTTATTTTATTCTTGAATAATACTCAGTACAACGTATGCAGATAAAACCAAACACAAACAAAAAAACACCAAATAAAAACGAGGACCACTTTGTCCTTCTTCTTTCTTATTTTCTTCCTCTCCCCTCTATAACACACCACATATATATATCTGTTACAGAGAATGTAGGAAATCAGGGAATGTGCACATTCCCTAGGGAAGCTATACATTCCCCGGGGAATCTGTACATTCCCTGACAGCGTTCAGAGAATTTGAGTATATGACATCGAAATTTCTCTTGGAATATAATAAATTCATGAATTATGTGATGTTTGATGTTAGAGCAGAGAAAAATCGTAAAATTTAGTGATCTACTATCCATTTCAAAATAGGATGGAAAAAAGTATTTTTTGAATAACTTTTTAAAAGAAAGGCTTAGAACTATGCGGTTTCCAGTATTTGATAGAAGACCTACTGAAAAAGAAATCTATGGAGAAATTAGGCCTTCCGATCAAGTCTAGCATGGTGCACCTTGTCGAACAAAATCTGAAAGCTCCCCATTTCCAGAGAAATAATGTATTTTGGATTCTGACAGGTTTATTCGAACCTCCAGACCACCCTCTTTAAAACTACACAAATTCGAAATTCTTATTCCCTATCCGAGCATTTTCCCAGGATCGAAAGTTCCCGAAAGTTATATATGAAAGTTCCCAAACATGAAGTTTAGCCGATAGGTAGGTCCTGGGAAAATGCTCGGATAGGAAATAAGAATTTCGAACTTGTTTAGTTTTAAAGAGGGCAGTCTGGGGGTTCGAATAAACCTGTCAGAATCCAAAATACATTATTTCTCTGGAAATGGGGAGCTTTCAGATTTTGTTCGACAAGGTGCACCATGCTAGACTTGATCGGAAGGCCTAATTTCTCCATAGATTTCTTTTTCAGTAGGTCTTCTATCAAATACTGGAAACCGCATAGTTCTAAGCCTTTCTTTTAAAAAGTTATTCAAAAAATACTTTTTTCCATCCTATTTTGAAATGGATAGTAGATCACTAAATTTTACGATTTTTCTCTGCTCTAACATCAAACATCACATAATTCATGAATTTATTATATTCCAAGAGAAATTTCAATGTCATATACTCAAATTCCCTGAACGCTGTCAAGGAATGTACACATTTCCTGACATTCTCAGGGAATGTATACATTCCCCGATTTCCTATATTCCCTGTACTATATCCATTTCTAATGTGTGGGTGTAGGAAGTGACGTAAGAACTGATAAATGAATAGGAGAAATATGATGTTGTTCTCTAACGGATGACATAACCAATGATGAGATACATGATTATGAGGAGTATGACGTAGACTCGTTCTCTTACGGGTGACGTCAGCGGTGATGAGATAAATGAATACGATAGAAGAGGATGAGGAGGATAGAATTTTTGAGGAAAATAGCGGGCATCCGTTACACACATATTGTAAAGCTTTTCAAGAGCAATTTTTCTATGTCAAACACGGGTTAGATCCTCTTTTACTTATAAAAAAAGCATCCGAAACGGTCATACAGTCTTCGTCTCCAGATACCAGTTGATAAAAAAAATGTTTTCTCTATGTTCAACTGGTTACTAAGGACGAGTACAGCTTTTTATTGGCTAGTTTTCTGTACCAAGCTTGACCTTGTCTCTAATTTAGATTCTCAACAAAATATTTTTTCGGAAATCTTAATGCATTTGACCGACTGTCTCGAAAATCGAGATAAACAGTTTTCTATGAGGTTTCTGAGGCTCGGTTAACCCGAAAATTGTGGACAAATACTTTCTCTACAAAATCCGATTAAAAGTAATTTCAAAATACGTGAGGACCGATCTCACTTAAAATTGAACCTCTCCTTTTACAAGGTAGGATAAATAATAAAAAAAGTCGTTCGTTGCAGGACTAGGCCTGTGACCGATCGCGTTTTCCGTTCTTTCGACAGGAACAATTCGACAATTAGTGTTCAATCAACACGAATTGAAGATAATCGAAGAACTGTTGACCGTCACCCCTATGGGTGGAATGACCCCGGCGGAAGGGTGATATTAAGGGTTGACTCTGTCAAAATCTGATTCTTCATCCAAAATAACGGTGCTCATGAAGTTTTGGTTAACCCCTGGGAAGATTTAAACAAAAAGATCGCCCTTTCTCCGAAGGTCCTTCCAGCCATATGCAACCGATGTTACGCTCTACTACCTCAAGTTTTATTTTGACTCAGTATTCGACTTCACAGTCTGTCTTCATAGTTCACTTATACTCAATAATATTTAAATTAATTTCTACTGCTTTACCGTCAAATTACTTAACAGAAGAGTTTGTAACTTCACAGTATATATCGTCATTAAAAACTGTGACGGAAATCTTTTATTGTAATAGTGAATACAACAAAGCCTTGAGAAAAACACAGTCATCGTCTTCAGTAAACTTAACTAGATATCCAAAATACTATAATTACTTACCCACGCTTGTCTACGGTATAGTGGTATTGTTCCACATGGCGTTCTCAGAAGTGCTTGTCGCTGATATTTTCGAATATTATCCAAATCAAATGTTATATATGGGCGAGAACTTTGCCATACATTCATTCTTTTCTTTCCTATTCCTCTATTGAGTGGTGTCTGTTCTTGTTGTCTTTTATCTTGTTCATCTTCTAATAAATTTCTTATTCTTCTTGTTCCCGGGTTTGCTTGTTTCATAGTGATCATTTTTTCCAATTGTTTGGCATTTTGCTTGTTCAATTCGACAAGTTTTTGTATCTGTTTATCGACATATTGTTTGATGTTAAATAATTCTTGCTTGTCAGGCTTTTGTACAATATCCCATTTTAATTTCATTAGACGCGCACGTTCTTGATCATAAACATTGAGAACAGTTATAAAATGTTTATCATCAATTTTGATATCATCGATATAATCGATAAGTGTATCCAATATATCTGCGTTCGTTTTACAAATATCAAAACATTGTTTCGTATTCAAAACAAGTTCTTTTAACTCTCGAATATTATTTTTCAACATAGAAAGCATTGTTCGCAATTCTTTGTCTGAATTCAAACGATCAATGCAGTCCTCCTGTGTTAGATGAGAAACTACTTCATTAATATTATTATCACTACTATCATCAGATAACTGTGCACGAGCTATGGTATTGACAGTGGTAAATACCTGTAAAAGAGTTAGATAAGTTAATACTCTATTGAAACATCATGTTTCCTACTTGTTCTTGTTTAACTTGTAGAATAATTAAATATTTAACAAATTTGATAAAATTTTCTAAGATTGGTTTAAAAACGTGTTGAATAGATTGACGCATTTGGTAATTATTGAGAAGATTTATTTGTCGATCAACACGATAGAGACGATGTGCCAATATCTTCCAGTCTCTAGTATCGGTATATAAACAAAACAAAAATGTTTTAAAAAAATTAATTTTTTCATCAATAAATTCTTGATATTCAATATATTTGCTTTTTAACGTTTGTAGATTTGTATAATAATCTAAATATTGTTGATTATTTTGTATAAATATATATATATCTGATTTATTTATCATCACATCTTGAATTTCTTCCATAGGTTGTTGATCAGTAATATCTGAAAAGAGATCGAATTTCAAAACGATTTATAAAAGTTAATAACAAATTCAAAATTGTGTCTCCAATCATGATGTTTACAAATTTCTTTGCATAAAAATATGTTGACTTATTTCAGATTATCGAGAAATCCAAAATTAATCATTTATCATACTGTATATACTCAAAATTTATCTTACTAGATGCTGTATATGCATATATAAAAAATTATTCTGTTGTTCTCATATCTCCCTTGTGTATATGTCTCATTTTATAAAATAATTAGTGTACCTGCTAGTGGTGATATATTCGACGCATTTGTTTTTCCTGTTGGAGTTAATGAAAAAGCTGTTTTTTGTAATTTATTGTAATAATGTTCTACATAATTGTCGAATGATTGTTGATTAACCGTCATTTTTTGCATTACATGTATTTTATCTTCCATTTCTCGTTGTTTATCCTGAATTTCGTCAATTTTTTGCTGTATAGCTGGTAAATGCGATAGTAAATCACCATTTGGCGACATACTTTTATCCGATTCATCATTGGAAGAAATTCGGAGTGTCGAACATTTCGAATCTGCTGTCAGCCCACTGTTACTGTTATCATGAGATTTATTTCTATTAGACAACGATTTAGCATTTTGCATTCCTTGTAGAAGACGTTAAAAAAATAACAAAACTTGTAAAATAATATTAATAATAATATTTGCGATGATTGAGATTTAAGAATAACTTTAATTACCCGCCATTTAGATAATACTGCTGTGGTCGATAAAGCCGCGTGAATTTTATCAAGTACCATTATATCCATTGGGTCCCCTGTTCTTCCTCATTTTTATTAACGATCTCTCTCCTCCTACGTCATCATCAGTACTGTATAGTTTGTTTGCTGATGACCTGTATTTGATCTGTACATATGAGAAACAGGATAGTTTGAATATGGTCAAGCAATTTGTTCAAACTGAAATAGATCGTGTTACTAACTGGTGTGATTGCAGTTTTATATCTTTGAGTTCTGACAAGTGTCATTGAACATATTTCCCTTTGTCTGCTAACCCTCCTACTTTTCTCACTTTTAGCATCAATGGAGAATCTCTCAAATATGAAAATACACCCAAACTTTTGGGTTTGTATTTTTCGCACGATCTAAGCTGGAAACCTCATTTTAAAATAGCTGCTTTAGCTTGCCTTCGCATGTTAGGTGCCATAAACAGAACATTTGCTGAAGCTCCGGCTTTTCTTCACCTTTACAAAACTTGATTATGGCAGCGCAGTTTTTGATACTAAGTTTATTACGCACACTAAACCCGTTGAGTCTGTCCAAAGGCTTACCGCTCGACTGATAACTCGACAGTTCGATTATATTATAGATGGTGTTAAACTTGCTAACGATTTAGGCCTTCCTAATTTGACTAATCGCCGTCTCTATTTTCGTCTAGTGAACTACTATCGTATATTCCATCGTCTGTGCACTTTAAACCGAGATGAGCTCATTACCCAACCACCTGTTAATATGAGGAGGTCTGAGAGACATAATGCAAGTCTGAATTCTTTGAGTGTCGTTTTACCGTTTACCACTCTAACTAATGTTCAGTATTCTTTTTTCTACTCTACTTCTTCTGATTGGAATAATTTACCTTCGTACGTTACATCAGCATCTAATGTAAAATTTTTTAAAGGCAATTTAAAATTGTATTTGAGTTCGTTCTGATCTGTTATATACATGTATACTACTTTTCTACCAGGTGTATGTCTATCATAACTTTTTGTTGTAGTTATAAGCCCCTATGCTTTTTGATGTACCTCTTTTGACACAATTCATGTAACATCTTGTCTTATTACTCTTTTTTTTGTCAATAAAAAAGAAAAGAAGAAGAAGTACCATTGTCCATACCCAACGATAAAAAATTATTAATATCAACTTTTCCGCTTATTCCACGTAGAAATGTAGGGAACAACATTTGTTCCACTAGTTTTTATGAGCTATGATGTGCGTGGGGTCTGTGGCAAGACTTTGGACGCGTATCCATGCAACATGAGCTTCCGAAAACCCCAACAATTATTGTCATAATCAATAATTTTTAATTATAACATGGTGGCGACATAGTCTAAATGTTTTTCTACAATTCTGCGCAAGATCAACCTCTCCATCTGTTGTGGTTCTGGAATAGCAGGTATTTACCCTACAAAATGATAACGAATTATGGGTGACTCAGGAAAATACCTGCCATTCGAGAATCACAATAGATAGAGAGATCGATCTTGCGCAGAATTGTAGAAAACACTTTGGACTATCTAGCCACCATGTTACAATTAAAAATCCATCGCAGGTTCAGAATCTGGTAACCTCATCGCTTTTCATCCGTTAGGTACATCATCTGAAAAATCGAGATTTTTAGCACAAAACATGTGTAGAGATAGAGTAAAGCCTTCTCTACAAAATGCTGAAAATCCGAACTCTGTATCTCTTTTCGTTTTCGAGTTATTCAAAAACATCCATGGCTGCTTTATTCATAAATGAATGGTAGAAAGAAACCCCTTTTGTCTAAATCGAGTACAAACAACTGCTTATAGGTAACATTTTCAAAAGGGAAATACAGACGTTTGTAGCGCTTGGAAATCTTTGTCGAATGACGTATTGCTTTACCGTTAGTTTGCAAATAAAAGTATAAGACACCAGAGTGATATAAATTAGTATTCATTAGCATCATTAATTATAAATTATTGTCTTAAAAAAAACTTTTTTTAAAGTTTTCATCAAACCACAGCAGACCATTGGCTATCAAACAATGCACGAATGACTTTTCTACGATTATTTTTGACTGAGCTACAAGTTTTTTTGAAATGAGGACTAGGACTTTAAATAAACTAAAATTTAAACTCAATTAATTAATAACTCGGTGAATAGTCATCAGTTCATCGAAAAAACTGAAGGATATATGTAATCAGGTGTCCTGTTCACACTGACATAGTATGAAGGCACGCATAGGGGAGGAGGGGGGGGGGGTTAACGCCCCTTTAATAGAAATAACTTTCAAATTTCACACGTGAGAATCATGCTATATTCCCATACTGTTAATCGCTACTAGTATTTTTTGTTAGCAACTAATGAGCGAACATTGCACACAGGGCAATTCCGGCATAGCAAGCAGACATGAGTATGAAGTTGCTTCTGGAACCTTAAAAAATAAAGTTTTTGTACGTTTTCAGATACGTTCTATTGATGGCTAACTCAGAAGTTTTTTTCGAATTTAGTGCTTAGAGGAACTCCAGGTTAAACTTTTTCAATACCAAGTTTTCGTTCAGGAAGATGTTGCTTAATACATGGTTCGATGCAGTATGACAAACTGATTCAGCATATGATCGATTTTGATTTAGAAAGATTTGTTAGTGAGAAAAATAGATTTCACTGGAAAATCCATACTGAAGTTCGAGAACGTTTGCACTAATACCATAGATATAAGGTATGGAAGAAATATTCTGTGAAAGTTTGAAGGTGGAGGAGGTGGTCATTATAGACTCGTTCTTTGAATTATGAGAAAACCATTACATTACATCGTCGTTACTACAAAGCTGGTGCTAGTCTATTTATCCTATTGTCTATTCAAAACTGGAGTCAGATCTTGATAAAATAGGGCCAGTTATTCTTGATCAACAAAGCAGCAGTACGCTGACATTCGTAATTGTATGATTTTATCTAAGAATGATGGTGCTAAATCCCCGACCGGATGACGCATGTATTGTTGAATTCCACTGAACACCGGTGACTTTATCGAAAATGAAAATTAAAAAAAATGTCTGATTTTATATATCTATTCTACCGACCTCCGCCCCTCTCCAACTTGAAAATATATCGTACATTAAGAAAATAATAGGACTAGCTGTTTGCACAATCGGTACGGTAACAAACGTTGTCTCTGGAATGCATAAAGGCTTCAACATTTTTGGCTTATGAATTATTTTATTAAACAACAAAAAACAATTCTGAACTCTTTTGAATACAAATTAACAGTAACTGTTTAGAACAAATTTTCAAAAAATCCTATAATCACACACTATTCATTTTCTTCTCAAGAGAAAACCAAAAACTTAAGTCCTAATTTCCGAAACAGAAAACACACACACACAACAAACAGACACATAAAAAGGAACCTATACACGGTTTAAATCTAAGCTAAAAAGCAACACAATAGCCCCATTTTAGTTTTAGGGTAACAACAACAAAAAAAAATGTTTTTTAACTAATAGTAATAAAAAACAAAGAAAAGAATCATACATTAATATAATATTACTCTGACTATTTATTACAATAATTTCTATCAAACAAATTATGTATACTGCCATTATTATTATTATTACTATTCTTAAACTATTCAAGATTAGGCAACAAAAAAAGAAAAGAAAAACAAAAAAACAACAAAAGAAAAACAAATGAAAAGTTCAGGTATGTGTTGTTTATGAATTATTATCAATATCCATTAAAGTTACTCGCGGAACAAGTTGATTTGTACAACCAGGTTCATAGGTGACTACAGTCATCTTTTCAGATAATTTCAGATCACTAAAACATAGAAATATGACTATTATTTGCATTTCTGTGTTACATTATACACATCAAAAAATGCGCACATAAACTTTTAAAATATATACGTTGTTAGTTTATTGTATTGTGTCTGATGCGATCCAGTCATTATAATGTATTGCTACTATACCAATGTTCGCTCAAATTTTAGCAGAAACTGATTCTGCTAAGAATCACAGAATATACGGATAGTTTACATCCTTGACTCGAGAACTAATATGGAGAAAAAGAAATCCCTTTTTGACAAGGGATACTTTTAATGATAAAGCAGTGGTACAGCATTAAAGTAGAGAAACTTCTTTGTCTGAAACTACAAATATATGGAAGTAATAACACGTAAAATTAGATTTTTAGAGATAACACGCAAAGTGTTAAAAATTAGGCTTTGTTAATACATAGAAAACGTTTAAAGATCAGATTTCATAGACATTGAAAACATCAACAGAAATACACTGGTGTAAAAATCCTTTCCAATGACTTATTCATGAGTAGAAATTTGAGAATAATAGATTTGACCACGGCAGCTAACTTCAATTTCATATTTTTAATTTTTTATTGATTATTTAAAATTTTTATTTTTTCTACGTTTCCAACCACACAGCGTTCATTGTCAAGAAGCACAGAAGATATATGTGTACGGTAAATCTTAAAAACAAAAATATGTAAATAATAAATATATATTTTCTGTGTTTCTTGACAATGAACACTATGTAGTTGGAAACGTAGAAAAAATAAAAATTTCAAATAATCAATAAAAATATGAAATTTAATAAGACTGGCAATGATGCTCTTCTTAAAGTTTTGTAAAAAGTAAAAAATATCTCTAACACAATAAATAACCACTTATTAATCGCAATGGAGAGACAGTTTGTTCAGCATATATTCTAATGTAAATAGAATTACAAAACTCTGACTATCTTTTATTTCTATAGATCCTAATAACTTATGACAGATATTCTCTAACAAGTGAAAATAGATAATAGAATAAAAATAAATAGTTTTAAATAGAAAAAACAACAAAACAGACAGAAAAAATAAATATTATTTTGTGAACACGAATGAATCTGCGAAAATAAAGAGAAAAAGTACACACAAACACTTGTGTCTCTAATAGATGTCAAAGATGGGATTTATGCATTTTGAACGCACTTTGATCTGACTTGAAAAAACAGAAATGAACTTTTAAATATGGGACACATATTTTTATTCGTTTAGAAAAATCGATGATAAATTTTGCATTGTACAACAGACATTAATATAATTGTCAAAGTCAAAATTAAAGATTACTTGAAAAAGGACATATGAACAGAAATAGAATCTAAAGCAAAAGTTAACTTATTGCAAGCAATACAGTTTTCTCAGTTCTGATAACTTTCGTACAACAAAAATAGAAAATCAAAGAGAAAAAAGGCTCTAGAAATAGGCTTAAAACTATACATAAGTTAGGCCGTTTTTACAAAAAAAATAACTGTTCAGTTCTAATTTAATTCTCATAATAATAAATAAATAAAACATTGATTAACTTTTGGTGTAAAAAAAGTAGTGACTGATCCAAAAATAAGTATGAGAAAAGCAACGAAAAGTTTCCAGCAGAAAAGTATTCAAAACTGAGAGAATAACGAAGAGATTGATAGTGGTATTAATGCGAGTCATAATCCGTATTCTTCTTATTCTTCTCAGAATTTACTGATGTTGTACATTAAAATTTCACAAGAAAACAAATATGACCTATTTCTTGATGGTTGGATGGAGTTTGCCAATGCTGAAATCTTCTCGTACTACTTACTCTTGTCAAAACTCTTACAATGAGTGAAATTATGTTATCTAAATAGATTCAACGGCGAATATGTACAACGTTTAAGTTGAAAACAGAAGATGCATAACGATAAATTACGCTAACAGTGAAGGTGAAAATCGAATGACAAAACTCAACACCATAAAAAGAATCTTATTTAGTAAGAAATGATGATTTTTCAATTGCCAATATTTTGAGCTTACCTTTCAACACCTAAACTACTCTCAACAATAGGAGAGTGAATATCGATATCATTACTAAACTTTTTTTCAGATGAAGAAACTGAAAAGGGGTTTATGGTTGAATATGACGGTGTTGTTCGATTTGATGATGACATTTTCGATGATTTAATTAATTTACTTCGATCGCGTGACCATATCCAATGTTGTGGACGAATCAAAATTAGCTGTAAACAAAAGAAACAACAGTTTATAAAATAAAATCATCAAAATGCTCAAATATGTGCTGATCTAAGATTTATTATTTAATTAAAAAAATTTGTGCAAAGTAATTAAAACTTTTTTTTCTTTTGTGGTGATGTTTTAATTTCAATGTCATATCATTGTTACACTTACTTCATCACATTCTTCTTTTGATACTCTCGATCGAAAATTTAATCTTGCCCATAAATCATTTTTCTTCAATAAAAATTGTCGAAAATATTGTTTATAGTTTGAAATACCATTAAATGCCCATGGTAACATGGAATATTTCGATGGTAAATCTTCCTCAACACTATCATGAGCCAACCATCTAAAAAGGAAAACACAATCAATAAAAAAGTACCACATAGAAAAACATTAAACGTACAATGCAAGAAAAAAACATTGACTGCTATATTCTTTTTCGCGTAATTTTGCACGAATCAAATAAATAAGAACCATAGCTAATAAATACTAGAACGGAAAAAACGAAACTTATTCTTACAATTATGAAATCCTACTTAAACATATCTTCACCTATAGTTTTTGACAGCCTCAGAACACTTACTTTATCAGCATGACGATATTGATCATCATCTTGAAGAAATATTGATATAATTGAATTATCTGAAAGACAAAATACAACGGAAACTTCCATTTTTTTGTTGTTGTTTCTTTTCATACTCTTACCAATTAAATGTAAATAAGCATCTACAGCTTGTCGAACTTTTAAAACTCGATTTGTTGACAATCGTTGTTGTTGTTGAGATTTTAACATTGATGCAACGGTTCCAGGTACTTTTTGGTCATAATCATTTTCGACTGCATCATTCGTGATCGAAGATGAACTATTTGATATCATTAGTAAATGAGCGTGTTGCTGTTCCTCGTGTAAAGTATGTTGCTGTCTTGTTTGATAGTGATGATGAGGCTGTGGTGGAATATAGTACTAAAATAAACACACATAAAGCACGAATGCTGAAGAAAACTTTTACTCCAGCTATCACCTTACCGGAGGATGTTGTTGATGACTTTTTTGAGCCTGGTGTTTAACTGGCTGCGGTTGTTGTATATGGGATTTAACATGACGAAAAAAATGAGAAGTGTTTATTTGATATGGTTTACTTTGATAGATTGTTGTGGAAAATACATTAAGATTATTACATTCAGATTTTTGCTGAAGTGAATTCATCCATTCATTGAATATTGACGAAGAAGACGACATTTTGGACGATGACACACACAGCACACCAACCCGAAATTACAATCTGAAAAATGAAGAAAAAGCGAGCTTGTCCAAGGTTTGTGATTGTTCTCAGGGATGAGAGGGATTAAAAAATTTTCTTCACGGAAAGTAGCTGGCGAAAAAAAATATCTGCAAATTTTTGACAGAAACAGGGGCGCCCAGATAAGGGGAGAGATCCCCCTGCTTTTTGAAAAAATTTACTCCGAACTTAGGATTTTCTTACTCCGAAAATTAGCCCTTTGACTTACGAGGATATCCTACGGAGTTCCGCGCTTACTTGTATTTTCAGAGTAAGACAATTATTCTCATTTTTAGAGTATAAAAGGCTTACTCTCAGTTTCGAAGTAAGGCGCTTATTCCCATTTTCAGAGTAAGACGTCTACTCTCAATTTTGGAGTAAGACATTTATTCCCATTTTGAGAGCAAAAGGCTTACGCTCAGTTTCGTAATTAGGAATTTACTCTCGTTTCAAAAGTAAGATATTTACTGCTATTTTCGGAGTAAGAGATACACTTCCATTTTTAGAGTATAGCATTTGTTTTTTCTCTTTCTGTATTTGATAGAGAATAAAATTTCTGTCATGTAGAGTTAGATAGAAGGAAAGTCAGTCTTGCTTTAGAAGAAAACTGCTTAGCATATTTATCTTTTTTTTTAGTTTTACCCCAATTTTTACAAGCATAAAAATTTACTCCGAAATTGACTTTGGCCATTTCTTTAGAATATAGACTTTAAATAGAATTTCATCACAAAAAAGACAATCAATTGTGAAATCAAAGTATACAGAGAATCATTCACTGAGTTTGCATTAACTTACTTTAAGTAGATAATGGCTGTTGGAATTCCATCAATACCCAACGAGGGAACCGCCCGCAGCGATTCACCGCTTAACTACTCCACACATATACAATATAGATAATGAGAATGTCTCATACAAAGTACATCACGGATGAGTGATTGAGGATAAGAATGATCTGTCTGTTTACACACTCATGAGGAAACTCCCCCAACTGTCAAATCGTTTTAGAGTCAAAAGTCATGGGAATGTAGGTTATCGACTATGCTGATTCCAAATATCGCTATGCCAGATGCTGCTAGACCTATCGTGACCAGTTTTCCAGCAAGCCATCCCAGTAAGGTGAAACCTTTTGGTCTTGAAAGGTGTTTTCGATCTGGCCAGATTATAGAGCACATCAAGTTGTGTATCGAACATAGTTCTTTGCATTTCAAAACGACCATACAGCCTGCCACAATCGTAGTTCTGCGTGCTATTTACAACTTTATGCAATTTTTTACACAATCTTTACATATAATTCGCAAAGTGAAAGAAAACGTACGATTGTGACAGGCTGTATGATCGTTTTGAAATGCAAAGAACTATGTTTCTATACTCAACTCCATGCGCTCTATAATCTGACCAGATCAAAAACGCTTCACAGTGCCAAGACGTTTTACCTTACTGCGATGAGTTGCTGGAAAATTGGTCACGAAAGGACTAGCAGCTGCTGGCATATCGATATTCGGAATCGACATGGTCGATAACCTACGTCCCAATGACTTTTGACTCTAAAGCGATTTGACAGTTAGGGGGGTTCCCTCGTCAGTAGTGCACAGAATGGTAATATGGCAATTCGTCTCAGACAATTCATTCCGGTCTATTCGTCTCTCGGACAATTCGTCGCATGGTCAATTTGATTTAGTATCATTGTTACTGATGGAAAAGTGAAAGATCGAAGTGATTTTCTCTTCACATTGTGAATTAATATCCGATTATTTAATCCCTGTTCTTACTAATCGAATTTGGATTAAGCTTTTGATTTTCTACTTATCATTAAGACCCCTCAATGTGATGTAGCTGAGATCGACAGAAACTTTCTTTTTCCAATCTCTTCCAAATGGTTGATGTCAACGAACAAAATGATGATGTTTCCAACGTTTCAAAGACGGAAAGGAATCTTCTCAAACGCTTAACTCGCGAACAGGTGATTTAAATTAAGAATTAACAATTTTAAAAACAAACACGTTTCAAGTCAATCATTTAAATAATAATTACATACCAATTGCGATTTCTACTTTTCTCGAAAAAAAATTATAATATTAAGAGCCCTTTTTAAAATCTTTTCAATTTAATTTGAACTTTTTTTCTCTATGTAGTTTTATACCACCTGATGATCGATTTCCAATTAAATTGGAGTCGAAATCCGGATAGTGGTAGTTTATTTCATTGAACTCACACCTTCAATACTGTTATTAGAATGTTTACGAATTTACATAGAATTAACCTATTTTGACATCGAGTTAGTCTACGACGACATTTCGCTTTTTATACAAGAAGAAGAATAACGACAAATAAAGAATAAAAACCATACTATTAATTACAACTTATGAAGCACTCTAATAAACCAACATACAGAAACTAATGTAGGCAAGACAATTCGATCTAATTTTAATTCATTGATATACCTTAAATTTAGATGTTTGAAATGTCAGTGGATGCCAGTTTTATATACTCGAATGGTTTAAGGGCCCCCCTCCCCTCAGAAATTATCTCCGACACCGTGCATCCGATCTTGACGAAACTTTCCATAAATGTTCGGGACAATGAGTTACAAGAATGAAAAAATTTTTTTGTCTCCAAGTCTTACGGTTTAGGAGTTTTCCAGAGATCAAGGTCCAAAAAGGACCCTGAACGGCGTCCCAAGATTTTTTAATATACCTCAAGCTGGAAAGTTCGGGTTTGTTTTATTTTAAACTAGACACC